GGTCATAAACGAAAAAGAGACGGACACCAGGTGTGCAGGGCAGAACACAGGTTTATTCCTAAACTGGGCTATTGTTCAGGCCACAGACCACGCCGCTAAATTACGAGCGTACACAATGTCAAGTTAAGTGGCAGACTCAGGAGCAGATCAGGATACCAAAGAGAGAGAGAGATGAGACAGTAGCCCCTATTTATTCATTTCAAAACCCCGCGGGATGACCCATCATACCCCCCAACCTTTCCGTCTGTCCTGGCATATTTAACCCCTGCTAGCACCCATGAGAACAATAACACGAACACGGAACACAATACCGGGTCGTTACAATATAAATGCAACAACAAGAAACATGCAACAATTTCAAAGATTTGACTGAGTTACAGTTCATATAAGGAAATCAGTCAATTGAAATTGAAATCTCTTTTTCTTTAAAGGTATCTGTGACCAACATGCAAATCTGTATTCCCAGTCATGTGAAGTCCATAGATTAGGGCCTAATGATTTCGCATGACTGTAAAACAGTAAGAAAATGTAGGCACTCACTACTATAAATCGCTCTGGATAAGAGCATCTGCTAAATTACTTAAATGTAAAATTGAATACAGATATGCATCTGTTGGTCACAGATACCTTTAATATAAAGGTAGGGGTGTGGATCAGAAAACCAGTCAGTATCTGGTGTGACCACCATTTGCTTCAAGCAGCGCGACACATCTCCTTTGCATATAGTTGATCAAGCTGTTGATTGTGGCCTGTGGAATGTTGTCCCACTCTTCAATGGCTGTGCGAAGTTGCTGGATATTGGCGGGAACTGGAACATGCTGTCATACACGTCGATCAAGAGCATCCCAAACATGCTCAATGGGTGATGTCTGGTGAGTATGCAGGCCATGGAAGAACTGGGAAATGTTCCGCTTCCAGGAAGTGTGTACAGATCCTTGCGACATGGAGTTGTGCATTCAAATTGCCATTGATAAAATGCAATTGTGTTCATTGTCTGTAGCTTATGCCTGCCCATACCATAACCCCACCGCCACCATGGGGCACATCTTCTTCTGTTGCTCTCTTCACTGCCTCAGCATAAGACACCTTCTGCACTAGCTTCCTGCCATCCAGGACCTCTATACCAGGCGGTGTCAGAGGAAGGCCCTAAAAACTATCAAAGACTCCTGCCACCCTAGTCATAGACTGTTCTCTCTGCTATCGCACGGCAAGCGGTACCGGAGCGCCAAGTCTAGGTCCAAAAGGCTTCTTAACAGCTTCTACCCCAAGCCATAAGACTCCTGATCAGCTAATCATGGCTAACCGGACTATTTGCATTGCCCCTCTTTTATGCTGCTGCTACTCTGTTTATTATTATTTATGCATAGTCACTTTAACTCTACCCACATGTACATATTACCTCAATTACCTCGACTAACTGGTGCCCCCGCACATTGACTCTGTACCGGTATCCCCTGTATATAACCTCCCTACTGTTATTTTATTTTACTGTTGCTCTTTAATTATTAGCTTAAAAAAAATAATAATCTTAAACTGCATTGTTGGAAAAGGGCTTGTAAGTAAGCATTTCACTGTAATGTCTACACTTGTTGTATTGGCGGATGTGGCAAATAAAATTTGATTTGATCCTGGCAACCTCAACCTGCCTTTCTCTCACCGGACACCTCTGATCTCCAGCACAATGGGTACCACTACAGTTTACACACACAACGTTTTCCACCGATACTACACATTCCTTAGTCTCATGTCCTCCTGCACACTTCTCACATCTAGGAATATCCCTCCTACACACTGCTGCCACATGACCATAAGCTTGACACCTAAAACACTGTAATGGGTTCGGGACAAAAGCTAACCGACACATCCTGACTTCACTTTGTCTGGTAAAGACTCTGCATCAAAACTCAGGAGCACAGACAGTGTCTTCTCTGTTTCACCACGCTCTCCACCAGGTCTACGTCGCAACAAACGGCGGGCGTCACAGACACCGGGAATCTTCAACTTCAGTTGACCCTCAACACTTAACTTCACTCCAGTTATCACTCCTTTCAGCAGCACCCTGCTCTGGAAAGGAAAGCAAGTCATATTTCTTGTCCCCAGTTGCGTGGTGTGGAGCGCACGCTCCCTCTGGACGGCAGAAACGCAAATAATCTACACGATTCCACTTTGAGTCGCTTTCACCAACCCAACATTCTCCAACCTCGTTTCCACCCAACCTGACACCATGTATGGGTTTACCAGAAAGCAAGGATCCATTCTCTCCAAAAATCTCACTCCCACTGGGCCAGAATAATCTTTGTCATCATCAGGATGAGGCTCAAACTCGGCGGTCTTCACCACACCTGCCACCGCAATTAATTCATCCTCACTCTCGTCATGTTCAATTTCCTGATCCACCACTCCATATTCACTCAAAACATGTTCCACTTTTCAATTATTATTCCTCTCCATCTTGTCCTTCATCAGATCTTCCAGAAGGCTTGTGCATTCCCCCATTCCATATATACTTATTTACATTTACATTTTAGTCATTTAGCAGACGCTCTTATCCAGAGCGACTTACAGTTAGTGAGTGCATACATAATTTTTTTAATTTTTCATACCCCCCGTGGGAATCGAACCCACAACCCCATGCTCTACCAAATGAGCTACATCCCTGCCGGCCATTCCCTCCCCTACCCTGGATGACACTGGGCCGCTCCATGTGTCTTATGTTCCACTTTCCTCCTTTTTTTCCTTTCCACCCATCTTACCCCCACCTCATGGCCACACCGGCAGCCATTGAACCGAAAAAATAATCTGACCTGTACCCCGTGTGGCATTGTTTTACAACCAGAGTTTAAAGTATGGTTTAGGAGCAGTTGTGCGACAGAGCTCTTAAAGGGACAATGGCGTCTTAAACTGGCAATGACATACTTTGTAATATAAACCTAAAAATCTAATTTTTTGAGTGAATAATAATGAATAATTAGTTCTATATTCATATTTATAATAAAATAATAACAATTATTAATAATAACAATCAGGATGTTTTGTCCAATGGGGTAAATGCAGATGGACAAACCCCATGCTTCATCATATGTACATTTTATAGGCACTATGCTGCATCAGTTAGGCTACATGTGATAATGCTTATTGCTAATAGCACATCTGATAATATAGACCATGCATGGTCCAACATGTTAAAATAATTGTAACAATTTTTTACCAATATGTTATTCGGCCCATTTCTGGAGGTGGAAATTATATTTTAGATGGTGTCAGCATAATATATTTTCATACATTTTGTAGTAGAAGGGGACTGGAATTGGTCAAACTAGCAGTACAAAACTGATCTTCTTTCCCTAAATGCAGGATGGTCATGACTTGCTGACATGAAAGGGGAGGTTAACTTGGCCCCAGACAATAGATCTGGGATCGACTTAAGTTTCAGTCATGGGATGTATTTTTTTCGTTAACCCCTGAGACTACTGTGCGTACGCAGTTTAGGAAATTTGCACCCGCCTGTATTTTAAGAAACACATGCGATCCATCTGGAAATGTGGAATGGAATGGGGCAATTCCACTGTAAAAGCTGATTTTATGGTCAATCCGAAATCTGCAGTGGCCGTACAGCATTTACAATGATGCAGCCTCCGGAGAAGTCAGAGCATTCATACTTCTTGCGCTTCGGGGAGCGGTTATACACATCCAATAAATTGTTCTGCACCGCACCACTCGTAGTGATTGAGGGCTAATCTCTATAGCCATATAGCTAATTACGAGTAACTGGTTAAACAAAATACCTTACCTCTTCTGATATGTTGGAGTACGTTTCCCGGTGCTGCACCATTTTCCCACCTGCATCTCCATCCCAAATCTTTTTGGGCCTGTTACAATACATCAATAATGACGGATTTGACAAATATCCACTTTGTTAGATCAGATTTGTTGAATGTGCACCAATCCAGCATCCTTCTATCCCCCATGGTCTGCATTGACCTCTTTACCAGATCTATCCCCATTACCTACCCGATCTATTTCCAGGAGTTAAAACACATTTTCATGTCATTGAAATCCCTACAGGAGGTATCATAATATTTGTGAATTTGTTATGATAGCCTTTCGTCAAAGTTCTCCATGTTTGTTGTCAAGGAAGTTGTCAAGGAAGTGAGTTTGTGTTTATACAGGATGTACCGCCCCACCTACCGTCAACCAATCATGTCAATGCGGAGCTATGCGAAGCCATCCGCATTGTTACAACATTTATGAGGCACATGGCATCGGCGTACGTAGCTGGATTTGGCCTACGCAAGCCTCCGGAGGATCCACAATTGCGTCACACGCTCTGTACGGAGCCTCCGGACCGCATTGCCGGATCAAGCATAAATCGGCTAACAAGAGTGACACTGAGACTCAGATTTTTCACTTTAAATTGTGTCAAACAAAACCAATGATTGCAAAGTTTAACAAACCATACAACTCTATGCACAAGGACTAGGCTACTTTTAACGATTTCCACTGAACATTTTTACAAAAACACATTTACTTGAACAGTGCAGATGCAAAGTTTGGTTACAGAATGCCGATTTGTGCTGTCATTCTGTTACCAAACTGTGCATCTGCACTGTTCTTCATGTAAATGTGTTTTTGTCAAATTTGATGTGGAACATTTTAAAAGTAGTCCTTGGCGGGTGAAGGTTAATGTGTCCTGCGCTGTGAGTCAGACCCCCTGCAGTAACTTCCTCATTGTGTTGTGTCCAGCCCTGCAGATGACTGCATTCTTATTCTCTGCATTATGAGAGGGCTTATAGATCCCACTGGGCTCTGACTTCAGCAGTCTCAAAACACCATCATTACTCCTAATAATCAGGCCTAACTAATTTATTACTGCACACACTACATACGTTTTGATAGGCTTGCTTTTGATTTAACGATTGACTTTTAAAGATGTTTCTTGTTGTTGCCTTTTATATCGAGATGATAGAGAACCAAATCGTCTCTTTGTGATCAAGGGAGAGATGGAGGTAGAAAGGGAGAAAGAGAGGGGGGTGTATTTCTCTCTTTCCGTAGCAGCTTTAGCAGCAGGACTCTGGCAGATCAAACAGGCTTCCTGTGTGGATTAGAGAAAGGTAGATATAGGAGGGGGGGGGGGGGGGGGGGGGAGCAGCTCTTTGTAGTCTCTGATAAACATAATTCTTAAAGATGGGCCAGAACAACAAACATGAGTGCTGACCTTTAGAACAACACTTTTCTGTGTGTGCGTGAGAGTGATGGAGTGGTGACTGTCCCTGTCTGAAAGTGATGTGCTCTTCTCTCGCCCTTCAGCGCTGAGGCACCATCAATAATTCACCAGCTCATCACACAATTCAATGCTGCACAGCACCCTCTCTTTACCAGGGGTAGGCAACTACAGTGAGGGAAAAAGTATTTGATCCCCTGCTGATTTTGTACGTTTGCCCACTGACAAAGAAATGATCAGTCTATAATTTTAATGGTAGGTTTATTTGAACAGTGAGAGACAGAATAACAACAAAAAAATCCAGAAGAACGCATGTCAAAAATGTTATAAATTGATTTGCATTTTAATGAGGGAAATAAGTATTTGACCCCCTCTCAATCAGAAAGATTTCTGGCTCCCAGGTGTCTTTTATACAGGTAACCAGCTGCGATTAGGAGCACACTCTTAAAGGGAGTGCTCCTAATCTCAGCTTGTTACCTGTATAAAAGACACCTGTCCACAGAAGAAATCAATCAATCAGATTCCAAACTCCACCATGGCCAAGACCAAAGAGCTCTCCAAGGATATCAGGGACAAGATTGTAGACCTACACAAGGCTGGAATGGGCTACAAGACCATCGCCAAGCAGCTTGGTGAGAAGGTGACAACAGTTGGTGTGATTATTCGCAAATGGAAGAAACACAAAATAACTGTCAATCTCCCTCGGCCTGGGGCTCCATGCACTCTCACCTCGTGGAGTTGCAATGATCACGAGAATGGTGAGGAATCAGCCCAGAACTACACGGGAGGATCTTGTCAATGATCTCAAGGCAGCTGGGACCATAGTCACCAACAAAACAATTGGTAACACACTACGCCGTGAAGGACTGAAATCCTGCAGTGCCCGCAAGGTCCCCCTGCTCAAGAAAGCACATATACAGGCCCGTCTGAAGTTTGCCAATGAACATCTGAATGATTCAGAGGAGAACTGGGTGAAAGTGTTGTGGTCAGATGAGACCAAAATCGAGCTCTTTGGCATCAACTCAACTCGCCGTGTTTGGAGGAGGAGGAATGCTGCCTATGACCCCAAGAACACCATCCCCACCGTCAAACATGGAGGTGGAAACATTATGCTTTGGGGGTGATTTGCTAAGGGTACAGGACAACTTCACCACATCAAAGGGACGATGGACGGGGCCATGTACCGTCAAATCTTGGGTGAGAACCTCCTTCCCTCAGCCAGGGCATTGAAAATGGGTTGTGGATGGGTATTCCAGCATGACAATGACAATGGGTTTTGCCACCAAGTACTAAGTCATGTCTTGCAGAGGGGTCAAATACTTATTTCCCTCATTAAAATGCAAATCAATTGATAACATTTTTGACATGCGTTTTTCTGAATTTTTTTGTTGTTATTCTGTCTCTCACTGTTCAAATAAACCTATCATTAAAATTATAGACTGATCATTTCTTTGTCAGTGGGCAAACGTACAAAATCAGCAAGGGATCAAATACTTTTTTCCCTCACTGTAGATTCGGCCGGGCACCGTTTTTTTGTCAGAGCAAATGGTCGGGGGCCCGCAAAATAATTATTAATAATATGTACACTGCAAATTGACCACAACTAAGCCCAAAAAGATATATGTATTTTCAAATACAATTGTTTGTTTTTTTACCCCTTTTTTGGTAGTTACAGTCTTGTCCCATTTCTGCAACACCCCTACGTACTCGGGAGAGGCGAAGGTCGATGTGTTCTCCGATACACGACCCTTCCAAGCCGCACTGCTTCTTGACACACTGCTCGCTTAACCCGAAAGCCAGCCGCAGGAAACACTGTCCAGCTGATGACTGAAGTTAGCTTGCAGGTGACCGGCCAGCCACAAGTCCCTAGAGCGCGATGGGACAAGGAAATCCCGGCCGGCCAAACCCTCCCCTAACCAGGACGACGCTGGGCCAATTGTGCGCCGCCTCATGGGTCTCCCGGTCACAGCCGGCTGTGACACAGCCTGGGATCGAAGCCGGGTCTGTAGTGACGCCTCAAGCACTGCGATGCAGTGCCTTAGACCACTGCGCCACTCGGGAGGCCCTCAAATACACTAATTTCATACCTTGATTACGTTAAGACACGATCACATATCTCTTTTAACTATTTGTGGGAATATTTTGGAACAGATTTCCAAAACAATGTTTTGGGGGGCTGAATTCCTGATGATTTTAGAGTCTCTTTTGACCAAAAACTAAAATCCCCCCCAAAAATAGTCACTGGCGGGACAGGTTTGGCCTGCAGACTGCCTGTTGCTCTATGCCCTCTCTCAACCCACACTTACTCTTTCTCTTTCTTTGGTGTTTGTTCTTCACTGGTTTCCCATTTCTTGTGGCAACAGGTCACAAATCTTGCTGCTGAGATGGCACACTGTGCTTTTTCACCCAGTAGATAAGGGAGTTTATTAAAATTGGGTTTGTTTTCGAATTCTTTGTGGATCTCTGTAATCTGAGGGAAATATGTGTCTCTAATATGGTCATACATTTGGCAGGTTAGGAAGTGCAGCTCAGGTTCCACCTCATTTTGTGGGCAGTGTGCACATAGCCTGTTTTCTCTTGAGAGCCAGGTCTGCCTACGGCGGCCTTTCTCAATAGCAAGGCTATGCTCACTGAGTCTGTACATAGTCAAAGCTTTCCTTAAGTTTGGGTCGGTCACAGTGGTCAGGTATTCTGCTACTGTGTACTCTCTGTTTAGGGCCAAATAGCATTCTAGTTTGCTCTGTTTTGTTGTTAATTCTTTCCAATGTGTCAAGTAATTCTCTTTTTGTTTTCTCATGATTTGGTTGGGTCTAATTGTGTTGTTGTTGTTGTTGTCCTGGGGCTCTGTGGGGTCTGTTTGTGTTTGTGAACAGAGCCACAGGACCAGCTTACTTATGGGACTCTTCTCCAAGTTCATCTCTCTGTAGGTGATGGTTTTGTTATGGAAGGTTTGGGAATCGCTTCCTTTTAAGTGGTTATAGAATTTAACAGCTCTTTTCTGGATTTTATAATTAGCGGGTATCGGCCTAATTCTGCTCTGCATGCATTATTTTGTGTTTTTCGTTGTACACTGAGGAAATGTTTGGAGAATTCTGCATGCGGAGTCTCAATTTGGTGTTTGTCCCATTTTGTGAATTCTTGGTTGGTGAGCGGACCCCAGACCTCACAACCATAAAGGGCAATGGGTTCTATAACTGATTCAAGTATTTTTAGCCAGATCCTAATTGGTATGTCGAATTTTATGTTCCTTTTGATGGCATAGAAGGTCTTTCTTGCCTTGTCTCTCAGATCGTTCACAGCTTTGTGGAAGTTACCTGTGGCGCTGATGTTTAGGCCGAGGTATGTATAGTTTTTTGTGTGCTCTAGGGCAACGGTGTCTAGATGGAATTTGTATTTGCGGTCCTGGCAACTGGACATTTTTTGGAACACCATTATTTTTGTCTTACTGAGATTTACTGTCAGTGCCCAGGTCTGACAGAATCTGTGCAGAATATCTAGGTGCTGCTGTAGGCCCTCCTCCTCCAGAAGCACCAGATCATCAGCAAACAGACATTTGACTTCAGATTCTAGTAGGGTGAGGCCGGGTGCTGCAGACTGTTCTAGTGCCCTCGCCAATTCCTTGATATATATGTTGAAGAGGGTGGGGGGCTCTCTCTCTCGCTATCTCTGTTTTAATCCCCCTCCTCTCCTCATTTTGGATCTCTCCTTCTTTCATACTCCCATCTCTATTTCTCTCTCTCTGAATGTCTCTCACCCTCTCTCTGTTTCCCCAGGCTGTTGTAGGTCTGAGCTCCAGCTCCAGTAGTTGTTTTTGCTGGTTGCCCTCCTCTCCCTCTCCCTCTCCCTCTTCCTCTTCTCGTTCTCCAGGCTCCTCACATATCAGGGCCTCTTTCCTGAGGAATGGCTGTCTATCTGTGTCTGTCCCGCTCCCCCCTCTCCTAGTCTTATTTCCCCACCAGTGAGGGGCCAAGTGAGAGGTTAGGGTTAATGTGTGTGGGGGGCCAAGGGGACCGAGAGGAAAGGGTGAGGCCGCCGCACCTACACTGTTCTACTCACTTGTGTTTCTCTAATTCTGATCCTGACGTGGGCTACCGGGGGTCCACACACTTTGCATCTGCACTGTTCGGATTAAAAAAAAAAGTGAAACATCTAAGTTTCAGTGTCACTCTGTTATCGTGGAATTGCCCTATGGAAATGCCAGCGCAAGGTGAGAGAATATGTCGTAGCCTAGGTGGCGGGTGCAACTTTGCTAAACTGAGCACAGTAGCCTAAGTGTATATTTTGTATTTGAAAGATTCTCGCTTATATGAAAGTTAAGTTCCGAAAGGTTTCCAAAACCGTATTGCTAGCGAGGATTAATAAGAATGTTAAACAGAGCATTGGGATTGTAGTTCATTGGTATGGCAACTGCACCGCCCTCGATCGCATGGCGCTACAGAGGGTGGTGCGTACAGCCCAGTACATCACTTGTGCCGAGCTCCCTGCCACCAGGACCTCTATATCAGGTGGTGTGAAAAGAAGGTCTGGAAAATTGTTAGTCTCCAGCCACCCAAGTCATATAGACTGTTCTCCCTGCTTCCGCACGGAAAGCGGTACCGGAGCATCAAGTCTGACACCAACAGTCTCCTGAACAGCTTCTATCCCCAAGCCACAAGACTGCTAAATAGCAAATGAAATGGCTACACAGACTATCTGCATTGACCCTTCTATTTTATTTGTATTTTTGCACAGTCCATATGCACACACACTCACTGACACGGACACTCCAACACACTCGCACACCATTCTTTTGCTAACACACATAACATGCACACACATTCCTACTGACTATACACACACACACACACACACACACACACACACACACACACACAGCTAGTAATCCACACATACTCACTCAATCACAATCATCATATATGCTGCTGCTACTCTGTTTATCATACGCTATATACACTACCAGTCAAAAGTTTGGACCCACCTACTCATTCAAGGGTTTTTCTTTATTTTTACTATTTTTTACATTGTAGAATAATAGTGAAGACACCAAAACTATGAAATAACACATATGGAATCAAGTAGTAACCAAAAAAGTGTTAAACAAATCAAAATATATTTTATATTTGAGATTCTTCAAATAGCCACCCTTTGCCTTGATGACAGCTTTGCATACTCTTGGCATTGGAGATTGGACTTCTCACTAAATGACATCCAATATCATACACATCACCCTACTCAGATTTACTACACACATAATATCTTGACTAAATGTTCTAACATCTGTAGTATTGGCTCACAGGCAAACAGGCAAGGGAATAAAACAAATATTGCTAGAACCTGAATTCTGAATATCAGACATTTGAAATCTTAAATTTTGACCATCATAGTACCTCTTATGGTAGTAACTTTACAAGCACTAATTATGGTCAATTTAGACTGAGAATAGTATCTAGTTATGGTAAGGGTTGAAATAAGTATAGCCAGTTATAATTGTAACGGTTTAGCAGATTATAAAAAAGAAGATCAGTCTTTACGTGGCAAAAAAGAAAAGGAATATAACATATACTGTTTACAGGAAACTCACTCTACATCCTTAGATGGAGTTGCATGGAAAAAGGAATGGGATGGTGAAATAATTTTCATCAAGGTGTGATGATATTAATTAACACAAATTTCGATATGAATGTGCAAATAGTCAGGAATGATTCGCAAGGAAGGTGGATCTTTTTGAATATGAAAGTGGATGAAAAACAGATTTGGCTCATGGTCCAAATCAGGATGATCCATACTTCTTCGAAAATATTTATACCAATTTATTGAACTTACAGGCAACAAATGATCAAATCGTTATGGTGGGAGACTATAACACAGTGGTAAGTACCTCAATGGTGTCACGGTTTCGGCCGAGGCTGCTCCTCCTCCTTGTTCGGGCAGGTTTCGGCGGTCGTCGTCCCCGGAGTACTAGCTGCCACGATCTATGTTTCATGTTCGTTTGATTTTGTCGTGATGTTGTACACCTGTGTCTAGTTAGTCCTCGTTAGTGTCCTATTTAGTTCTCGTTGTGTGTGTTTGGTGTTGTGTGTGATTGCTCTTCTGTTTTGGTGTTCTGAGCTACATACTTCCCTCCGTTGTTTGGAGAGGTTTTCGCACATGTTAGTGCGCCTTTTGTTTGACGCCTGTGTGCGCCTTTATTTCGCCTCCGGGCTTATTGTGCTCGTTTACTACGTGAATAATTCACTAAAGTCTTTTGGACTTAGCTTCTGCGTCCTGCGCTTGATTCCTGCACCACACCCACCTTCAGCACCCGTGACAGAATCACACACCTTTTAATAATGGAATCAGCAGGAGCAACAATCACGCCTGAGTCGTTGGAGGAGCATGTCCGCCGCCAGGATGACCAGATACGACAACTGGGGACCGCTCTACAGGACGTCATCAACACCCTGCACCGATGGGAGTCCAGAGGGGTACCCACACCTCCACCTACCCTGCCACCCCCATCGGCCGGTCCACCAGTCCCAGGTCCGGAACCCAGTGGGATTCAGCTCTCGCTCCCGAGGGCGTATGACGGAACAGCTGCCGGGTGTCAGGGGTTCCTCCTGCAGGTGGAGCTCTACCTGGCCACTGTACACCTGGTGCCCTCGGGACACGAGAGCGTTTCCGCCCTCATCTCCTGTCTCACGGGCAAGGCGTTGGAATGGGCCAACGCCGAGTGGAGGAGGATGGACGCCACCACCATCTCCTACGCCGAGTTCTCCCGTCGATTCAAGGCCGTGTTAGACCATCCACCTGAGGGCAAAGCGGTGGGGGAGCGTCTAGTCCACCTGAGACAGGGGAGGAGGAGTGCACAGGCGTTCGCGCTGGAGTTCCGGACTCTAGCGGCAGACGCAGGGTGGAATGAACGGGCCCTCATCGACCATTTTCGATGTAGCCTACGGGAGGACGTTCAACGTGAGTTGGCCTGCAGGGATACCAATTTCACCTTCGACCAGTTGGTCGATATGTCCATCCGTCTGGACACCCTGCTGGCCACCCGTGGACGTCCCGAGTGGGGTCCGTCCATTCCACCCTCCGGCACCTCCGAGCCGAGCCCTATGGAGCTCGGGGGTGCTGGCGCTAGAGAAAGGAGGAGGAGGAGCCTGAGGGGGCCTGTCCCCTGCACCAAGTGTGGTCGTGGAGGGCACACTGCGGCCAGGTGCTGGGGAGGGTTCCCCGAGGGAGGAGACAACAGGCCACGCACTGGGGATCCCTCCCAGGTGAGTAGACGCCCCACTTACCCAGAGCTCTCTGTTGCGCACTTCTGTATACCTGTTTGTTTTCCACAGGTTGCACCTCATTCCCAGCATAAGGCGCTAGTAGATTCAGGCGCAGCTGGGAATTTTGTTGATCGGAAGTTTTGTTTAGATTTAGGGATCCCTCTCCTACCTGTTGACAAACCTTTTCCCGTTCATGCTTTAGATAGCCGCCCGTTGGGGTCGGGGTTGATTAGGGAAGTCACAGCGCCACTTAGGATGTGTGCGCAGGGGGGTCATGAAGAGACTATACAGTTGTATCTGATCGACTCTCCTGCATACCCGGTGGTGCTGGGAATTCCCTGGTTAAGCACCCATAACCCTGCTATTTCGTGGCAACAGAGGGCTCTCGATGGGTGGTCTGCTCAGTGTGAGGGGCGATGTCTGGGTGTTTCCGTAGGGGCGACTTCGGTGGAAAGTCCAAACCAAGTGCCCGCACTGCACATTCCGCCTAAATATGGGGATTTAGCTCTCGTGTTTAGTAAAGCTAGGGCGACGCAGTTGCCTCCTCATAGACAGGGGGATTGTGCGATTGATCTCCAGGCAGGAGCAGCGCTCCCACGGAGCCACGTGTATCCTTTGTCTCAAGAGGAGAGAAAAGCTATGGAAACTTACATAGCCGAATCTTTGAGACAGGGATACATACGGCCCTCCACTTCTCCCGCCTCCTCGAGCTTCTTTTTTGTGAAGAAAAAAGATGGAGGGTTGCGCCCGTGCATCGATTACCGTGGTCTCAATCAGATTACTGTGAAATACAGTTATCCACTCCCTCTGATTGCGACCATGACGGAGTCATTGCATGGAGTGCGGTTTTTCACAAAACTGGATCTCAGGAGCGCGTATAACTTGGTGCGCATTAGGGAGGGCGACGAATGGAAAACAGCGTTTAGTACCATGTCAGGTCATTTCGAGTATCTCGTCATGCCATATGGGTTGATGAATGCTCCATCAGTCTTCCAATCCTTCGTAGATGACATTTTCCGGGATATGCAGGGGCAAGGGGTGGTCGTGTACATTGATGACATTCTAGTGTACTCGTCTACCCGAGAGCCGAGCATATAGCCCTGGTGCGTCGTGTATTGAGGAGGCTGTTGGAGCACGACCTATATGTCAAGGCAGAGAAATGTCTGTTTTTCCAGGAGTCGGTCTCCTTTTTGGGTTATCGGTTGTCCGCGTCAGGGTTGAGAATGGAGGTGGATCGTGTGTCCGCTGTGCGTAATTGGCAAACCCCAACCACTGTCAGAGGTGCAGCAGTTCTTGGGCTTTGCGAATTACTACCGGAGGTTTATCCGGGGTTTTGGACAGGTGGCAGCTCCCATCACGTCCCTTCTGAAAGGGGGTCCGGTGCGCCTGCAGTGGTCAGCTGATGCGGACAGGGCCTTTAGGAGACTGAAGGACCTGTTTACGTCGGCTCCGGTGCTGGCGCATCCGGACCCCGCATTACCCTTTCAGGTCGAGGTGGACGCGTCTGAGGCCGGTATAGGGGCCGTTCTCTCTCAACGGTCCGGCACGCCACCTAAACTCCGCACCTGTGCTTTTTACTCTAAAAAGCTCAGCCCGGCGGAGCGTAATTATGACGTCAGGGACAGGGAGCTGTTAGCTGTAGTTCAGGCCCTTAAGGTGTGGAGGCATTGGCTTGAGGGGGCTCAACACACTTTCCTCATTTTGACTGACCATCGGAACCTGGAGTACATCCGGGCAGCGAGGAGACTGAACCCTCGCCAGGCTCGATGGAGTATGTTTCTCACCAGGTTCGTATTTAAAATCACGTACATCCCTGGGTCCCAGAATGGTAAGGCAGATGCGCTGTCCCGGCGGTATGACACGGAGGAGAGGTCCGTTGAGCCTACTCCCATACTACCGGAGTCTTGTCTTGTGGCACTGGTGGTGTGGGAGGTCGATGCAGAAATCGAGCGAGCGTTGCGTACCGACCCCAGCCCTCCACAGTGTCCTGAGGGTCGGAAGTACGTTCCGCTCGAGATTCGGGATCGACTCATTTACTGGGCTCACACGTCACCCTCCTCTGGACATCCGGGTATTGGCCGGACAGTGCATTGTCTTAGCACTAAATACTGGTGGCCCACGTTAGCCAGGGATGTGAGGGTTTATGTCTCCTCCTGCGCGGTGTGCGCCCAGTGTAAGGCACCCAGACACCTGCCCAGGGGTAAGTTACAACCCCTGCCCGTTCCACAACGACCATGGTCCCATCTCTCGGTGGATTTTGTGACAGACCTTCCCCTCTCTCAGGGGAATACAACCATCCTGGTCGTTGTGGACCGGTTCTCTAAGGCCTGTCGTCTTCTCCCTATGTCGGGTCTTCCTACTGCCCTACAAACCGCAGAGGCCCTATTTACCCACGTCTTCCGGCATTACGGGGTACCCGAGGATATAGTGTCTGATCGAGGCCCCCAGTTTACCACCCGAGTATGGAGAGCGTTCATGGAGCGTTTGGGGGTCTCGGTGAGCCTTACCTCAGGGTACCACCCGGAGAGTAACGGGCAAGTAGAACGAGTCAACCAGGATGTGGGTAGGTTTCTGAGGTCGTATTGCCAGGACCGGCCTGAGGAGTGGGCTTGGTACATTCCCTGGGCCGAGATGGCCCAGAACTCTCTCCGCCACTCCTCTACCAACCTAACCCCCTTCCAATGTGTGTTAGGTTACCAGCCGGTTCTGGCACCTTGGCAGCAGAGCCAGATCGAGGCCCCTGCGGTGGATGATTGGATGAGGCGCTCGGAGGAGAAGTGGAACGCTGCACACGTCCACCTGCAGCGGGCCATCCGTCGTCACAAGGCGAGCGCCGATCTCCACCGCAGTGAGGGGCCGGTGTACGCACCCGGAGATCGAGTCTGGCTCTCTACCAGAAACCTACCCCTCCGCCTGCCCTGCCGGATGCTGGGTCGGCGGTTTGTGGGGCCTTTTAAAGTCCTGAGAAGATTGAGCGAGGTGTGTTATAGGTTACATCTGCCTGTTGAATATAAGAATATTAACCCCTCGTTCCATGTGTCTCTTCTCAGGCCGGTGGTAGCTGGTCCACTCCAGGAAGGTGAGATAGGAGAGACTCCTCCGCCCCCACTGGACATCGAGGGGGCTCCGGCGTACACCGTTCGGTCCATCTTGGACTCAAAACGCCGGATGGGGGGTCTCCAGTATCTCGTGGAGTGGGAGGGGTACGGCCCGGAGGAGCGGTGCTGGGTGCCGCGGAGGGACATCCTAGACCCATCTCTCCTGTCGGAGTTCCACCGGGACCATCCCGCGCGCCCTGCTCCGCGTCCTCCTGGTCGTCCCCGAGGCCGGGGTCGGCGCACGGCTGGAGCCGCGCGTCAAGGGGGGGGTACTGTCACGGTTTCGGCCGAGGCTGCTCCTCCTCCTTGTTCGGGCAGGTTTCGGCGGTCGTCGTCCCCGGAGTACTAGCCGCCACCGATCTATGTTTCATGTTCGTTTGGTTTTGTCTTGATGTTGTACACCTGTGTCTAGTTAGTCCTCGTTAGTGTCCTATTTAGTTCTCGTTGTGGGTGTTTGGTGTTGTGTGTGATTGCTCTTCTGTTTTGGTGTTCTGAGCTACGTACTTCCCTCCGTTGTTTGGAGAGGTTTTCGCACATGTTAGTGCGCCTTTTGTTTGACGCCTGTGTGCGCCTTTATTTCGCCTCCGGGCTTATTGTGCTCGTTTACTACGTGAATAATTCACTAAAGTCTTTTGGACTTAGCTTCTGCGTCCTGCGCTTGATTCCTGCACCACACCCACCTTCAGCACCCCGTGACAAATGGACCGTAAAGGGAATCACTCTACAAACTATCATCAACGTGCCCTTAAGGAAATCACAAATATTATGGACACATTAGAAATTGTGGATATTTGAAGACTAAAAAACCCTGACCTAGTGAGATATACAGTGGGGAGAACAAGTATTTGATACACTGCCGATTTTGCAGGTTTTCCTACTTGTAATTTTTATCATAGGTACACTTCAACTGTGAGAGACGGAATCTAAAACAAAAATCCAGAAAATCACATTGTATGATTTTTAAGTAATTCATTTGCATTTTATTGCATGACATAAGTTTTCGATCACCTACCAACCAGTAAGAATTCCGGCTCTCACAGACCTGTTAGTTTTTCTTTAAGAAGCCCTCCTGTTCTCCACTCATTACCTGTATTAACTGCACCTGTTTGAACTCGTTACCTATATAAAAGACACCTGTCCACACACTCAATCAAACAGACTCCAACCTCTCCACAATGGCCAAGACCAGAGAGCTGTGTAAGGACATCAGGGATAAAATTGTAGACCTGCACAAGGCTGGGATGGGCTACAGGACAATAGGCAAGCAGCTTGGTGAGAAGGCAACAACTGTTGGCGCAATTATTAGAAAATGGAAGAAGTTCAAGATGACGGTCAATCACCCTCGGTCTGGGGCTCCATTCAAGATCTCACCTTGTGGGGCATCAATGATCATGAGGAAGGTGAGGGATCAGCCCAGAACTACACGGCAGGTCCTGGTCAATGACCTGAAGAGAGCTGGGACCACAGTCTCAAAGAAAACCATTAGTAACACACTACGCCGTCATGGATTAAAATCCTGCAGCGCACACAAGGTCCCCCTGCTCAAGCCAGCGCATGTCCAGGCCCGTCTGAAGTTTGCCAATGACCATCTGGATGATCCAGAGGAGGAATGGGAGAAGGTCATGTGGTCTGATGAGACAAAAATAGAGCTTTTTGGTCTAAACTCCACTCGCCGTGTTTGGAGGAAGAAGAAGGATGAGTACAACCCCAAGAACACCATCCCAACCGTGAAGCATGGAGGTGGAAACATCATTCTTTGGGGATGCTTTTCTGCAAAGGGGACAGGACGACTGCACCGTATTGAGGGGAGGATGGATGGGGCCATGTATCGCGAGATCTTGGCCAACAACCTCCTTCCCTCAGTAAGAGCATTGAAGATGGGTCGTGGCTGGGTCTTCCAGCATGACAACGACCCGAAACACACAACCAGGGCAACTAAGGAGTGGCTCCGTATGAAGCATCTCAAGGTCCTGGGGTGACCTAGCCAGTTTCCAGGCCTGAACCCAATAGAAAATCTTTGGAGGGAGCTGAAAGTCTGTATTGCCCAGCGACAGCCCCAAAACCTGAAGGATCTGGAGAAGGTCTGTATGGAGGAGTGGGCCAAAATCCATGCTGCAGTGTGTGCAAACCTGGTCAAGACCTACAGGAAATGTATGATCTCTGTAATTGCAAACAAAGGTTTCTGTACCAAATATTAAGTTCTGCTTTTCTGATGTATCAAATACTTATGTCATGCAATAAAATGCAAATTAATTACTTAAAAATCATACAATGTGATTTTCTGGATTTTTGTTTTAGATTCCGTCTCTCACAGTTGAAGTGTACCTATGATAAACATTACAGACCTCTACATGCTTTGTAAGTAGGAAAACCTGCATAATCGGCAGTGTATCAAATACTTGTTCTCCCCACTGTACATGGAGTAGACTTAATCAAGCTAGTCTTGACTACTTTCTTGTCTCTTTCTCTCTTGCAACAAAGGTTTAAAAAGTTTAAATAGGAGACAGAATGCGATCGGATCATCTAATTGGCCTTCTCATAACTCTTATAGAATTTCCACATGGACGGGGATATTGGAAATTTAATCAAAGTTTACTGGAGGACAATTTATTTTTAACTAAGACAAAATAATTTATAACTGAATTCTTCCAGTACAATATAGGTTCAGCAAATCCCCTTATTGTTTGGGATACCTTTAAATGTACCTTCAGAGGTCATTCAATTCAATATTCATCAATAATAAAAAAAAAGTTTCTGGCTAAAGAGATAAGACTAACAAGGGGAATACATGAACTAATAGTACAGGTAGATAGCAATAAAAACGATACTACAGAGATACAAAATAAGTTAGAGGAAAAACAAAAATAACTGGAAGAACTTATTCAAGAACGATCTAATGTAATCTATTACAAAAAAAGCAAACTGGATGGAATATGGAGAAAAATGCACCAAATTCTTCCTGAATCTCCAACACAGGAACACTAATAAAAATAATTTACAGAAACTCATTACTGAAGACGGAGTCATCTGTGATTCTCCAAATTATATTTTAAAAGAGGAAGCTAAATATTTTAAGCAGATGTTCTCTTTTCCATCTCATCCTCACCAACTGAATGACGATTACTGTAAGGAATTCTTTCCAAATAATAAAAAAATGGAAAATTAACAAATGTACAGAAAGATCAGTGCGAAAGCCAAATTGCAGAGGAAAAACATTTTGAGGCTAATAAATCCTTTCAGTGTGGAAAAACCCCAGGGCTTGATGGCATACCGGTAGAGGTATATCAAGCCTTTTTTAATATACTCAAAGCTCCATTGTTAGATTGTTTTAACTACTCCTATAGAAATTGTAGTGTGACAGGTACTCAGCAGGAAGGTCTGATTTCACTATTATTAAAACAAGACCCAGATGGCAAATATAATGATCCAGTCTATCTTAAAAACTGGAGGCCTCTTACACTTCAATGTTGTGATGCAAAAATACTAGCGACATGCATAGCACTCAGAATTAAAAAGGTTTTACCTGGTATTGTTCATCCTGATCAGACAGGTTTTTTACATGGACGATACATTGGAGATACAGTGAGGGGAAAAAAGTATTTGATCCCCTGCTGATTTTGTACATTTGCCCACTGACAAAGAAATGATCAGTCTATAATTTTAATGGTAGGTTTATTTGAACAGTGAGAGACAGAATAACAACAAAAAAATCCAGAAAAACACATGTCAAAAAATTTTATGAATTGATTTGCATTTTAATGAGGGAAATAAGTATTTGACCCCTCTGCAAAACATGACTTAGTACTTGGTGGCAAAACCCTTGTTGGCAATCACAGTGGTCAGATGTTTCTTGTAGTTGGCCACCAGGTTTGCACACATCTCAGGAGGGATTTTGTCCCACTCCTCTTTGCAGATCTTCTCCAAGTCATTAAGGTTTCGAGACTGACGTTTGGCAACTCGAACCTTCAGCTCCCTCCACAGATTTTCTATGGGATTAAGGTCTGGAGACTGGCTAGGCCACTCCATGGACCTTAATGTGCTTCTTCTTGAGCCACTCCTTTGTTGCCTTGGCCGTGTGTTTTGGGTCATTGTCATGCTGGAATACCCATCCACGACGCATTTTCAATGCCCTGGCTGAGGGAAGGAGGTTCTCACCCAAGATTTGACGGTACATGGCCCCATCCATCGTCCCTTTGATGCGGTGAAGTTGTCCTGGCCCCTTAGCAGAAAAACACCCCCAAGGCATAATGTTTCCACCTCCATGTTTGACGGTGGGGATGGTGTTCTTGGGGTCATAGGCAGCCTTCCTCCTCCTCCAAACACGGCAAGTTGAGTTGATGCCAAAGAGCTCGATCTCATGCACATATACATGCCCGTCTGAGGTTTGCCAATGACCACAACATTTTCACCCAGTTCTCCTCTGAATCATTCAGATGTTCACTGGCAAACCTCAGACGGGCATGTATATGTGCATTCTTGAGCAGGGGGATCTTGCGGCGCTGCAGGATTTCAGTCCTTCACGGCGTAGTGTGTTACCAATTGTTTTCTTGGTGACTATGGTCCCAGCTGCCTTGAGATCATTGACAAGATACTCCCATTTGCGAATAATCGCACCAACTGTTGTCACCTTCTCACCAAGCTGCTTGGCGATGGTCTCTACAATCTTGTCCCTGATATCCTTGGAGAGCTCTTTGGTCTTGGCCATGGTGGAGTTTGGAATCTGATTGATTGATTGCTTCTGTGGACAGGTGTCTTTTATACAGGTAACAAGTTGAGATTAGGAGCACTCCCTTTAAGATTGTGCTCCTAATCGTAGCTCGTTACCTGTATAAAAGACACCTGGGAGCCAGAAATCTTTCTGCTTGAGAGGGGGTCAAATACTTATTTCCCTCATTAAAATGCAAATCAATTTATAAAATTTTTGACATGCGTTTTTCTGGATTTTTTTGTTGTTATTCTGTCTCTCACTGTTCAAATAAACCTACCATTAAAATTATAGACTGATAATTTCTTTGTCAGTGGGCAAACGTACAAAATCAGCAGGGGATCAAATACTTTTTTCCCTCACTGTAATATACGACAACTACTAGAAATAATAGAACATCATGAAACATAATAATAATATGCCATTTAGCAGACGCTTTTATCCAAAGCGACTTAGTCATGCGTGCATACATTTTTGTGTATGGGTGGTCCCGGGGATCGAACCCACTACCTTGGCGTTACAAGCGCCGTGCTCTACCAGCTGAGCTACAGAGGACCACGAACATCTAAGAAGCCAGGCCTGGTATTTATAGCTGATTTTTAAAAGGCCTTTGATAAAGTAAGACAGGATTTTATTTATAAATGCCTGGACTTTTTCAATTTCGGTGATTCTCTTATAAAATGGGTAAAAGTATTGTATAGCAAACCCAGGTGTAAAATAGTAAATAGTGGCTACTGAATTGTCAAGAGGAGTTAAACAAGGGTGTCCGCTGTCACCATATCTATTTGTTATGGCCATCGAAATGCTAGCTATTAAAATCAGATCAAATAACAACATTAGAGGATTAGAAATCCAAGGCTTAAAAACAAAGGTGTCCATGTATGCCGATGACTCAAGTTGTATATTAAGTCTGCAAGCTAGATCCCTGCAATGTCTCATTGAAGATCTAGATCACTTTTCTGGACTCTCTGGACTAAAACCTAATTATGTGTACAATATTACGTATTGGATCTTTAAAAAATACAACTTTACATTACCCTGCAGTTTACCGATGGGCTGACGGTGAAGTAGACATACTTGATATTCATATCACAAAAGATATGAGCTCTCCACAATGAATTTCAAAAATAGACAAGATCCTGCAACCATGGAGAGGTAAATACCTGTCTATTTACGGAAGAATTGCCCTGATTTAAGTCCTTAGTCATATCTCAGTTTACTCACTTACTTTATTTTTTATTTTTGTCATTTAGCAGACGCTCTTATCCAGAGCGACTTACAGTTAGTGAGTGCATACATTTTTCTATACTGGTCCCCCGTGGGAAAGGAACCCACAACCCTGGCGTTGCAAACGCCATGCTCTTCCAACTGAGCTACACAGGACTATATACTTATGGGCTGCCTACTCCTGATTTAGTTTTTCTTGAACCCTAAATGGTTCTCAAGTAGATTACTAAGAAAAGCTCATCCTATGTTTAAAAATGGCCTTTTTGCCTTTGTGCAGATTGCCATGTCTCATTTTTGATTAATTGAAAATGATATTTTTTTCAAAGTATCTCTCTTTTTCAAACAAGCATTGCAGAGCTGGCTACAATTTCAATTTCATCCCCCTGAAAAGATAGAACAAATATTATGGCTGAACTCAAATGTGCTGGTTGATAAAATACCTGTATTTATGGGAAAGATGTTTAAAAAGGGTATTTTGTTTTTAAATGATATTATAAATTTGAATGGTAGAGATGTCGTTCATGGAGTTATCAGAATTGTATGGGAAGGTCTGCTTAATCCAAGATTACAACCAATTGATTACAGCATTACCCCAAAAATGGAGGAGGCAGGTGGCAGTGGGAGGAGGTAGGGAACTGGTCTGTCTGCCCAATATAAAGGATCAAAACTGGCGGAGGAATAAAAATAGCATAAATAGGAAAGTATACCAGTTTCATTTGAGGACCAGGATGTTGACAGCTGTGCCATACAGATTGCAAAATAGTTGGGAAGAGATTTTTGAAGTACCGATTCCATGGTACAGGGTGTATGAGTTGATATATAAAACGACACAAGATTCAAGACTTCATGCTTTTCAGCTAAAATTATTATATAGAATTCTTGCCACCAACAAAATGTTGAATATTTGGGGCATACAATCATCGAAGCTCTGCAGATTTTGTTGTGAGGAAACAGAATCAATAGACCATTTATTTTGGTATTGCCCTCAGGTAGCCTGTTTCTGGTCTCAGGTTCAGGAATGCCTGAAAATGCATAACATTGATCTAAAATTGGATGGAATGGAATGGAATTATTACATTTTTCTTGGGGGGGGGGGGGGGGGGGGGGGGGTCTCGGATCACTGGTTCGGGTCCCTGTTTTTGACCTTGTGGGAGATCTGTCGACGTGCCCTTGAGCAGGACGTTGACCCTGGTTGATTCTGTGTGTCGCTCTAGATGGGAGTCTGTTAGATGACTAATGTGGTGTAATTGTTGAGCATCTTCACTGCAAGTATATTGTATGTTTTAAATATTCAATAAATAGGCCACACAAGCTCACAGAATGCAACCGCCGAGTGCTGAAGCGCGTAGCGTGTAAAATCGTCTGTCCTCGGTTGGAACACTCACTACTGAGTTCCAAACTACCTCTGGAAGCAACATCAGCACAAAAACTGTTCGTCGGGAGCTTCATGAAATGGGTTTCCATGGCCGAGCAGCCGCACACAAGGCTAAGATCACCATGCACAATGCCAAGTGTCGGCTGGAGTGGTTGTAAAGCTCGCCGCCATTGGACTTTGGAGCAGTGAAAACGCGTTCTCTGGAGTGATGAATCACGCTTCACCATCTGGCAGTACGACAGACGAATCTGGGTTTGGCGGATGCCAGGAGAACGCATAGTGCCAACTGTAAAGTTTGGTGGAGGAGGAATAATGATCTGTGGCTGTTTTTCATGGTTCGGGCTAGGCCCCTTAGTTCCAGTGAAGGAAAACCTTAACGCTACAACCTACAATGACATTCTAGATGATTCTATGCTTCCAACTTTGTGGCAACAGTTTGGGGAAGGCCCTTTCCTGTTTCAGCATGACAATGTCCCCATGCATAAAGCGAGGTCCATACAGAAATAGTTTATCGAGATCGGTGTGGAAGAATTTGACTGGCCTGCACAGAGCCCTGACCTCAACCCCATCGAACACCTTTGGGATGAATTAGAACGCTGACTGCGAGCCAGGCCTAATCGTCCGACATCAGTGCCCGACCTCACTAATGCTCTTGTGGCTGAATGGAAGCAAGTCCCCGCAGCAATGTTCCAACATCTAGTGGAAAGCCTTCCCAGAAGATTGGAGGCTGTTATAGCAGCAAAGGGAGGACCAACTCCATATTAATGTCCATGATTTTGGAATGAGATTTTCGACAAGCAGGTGTCCACATACTTCTGGTCAAGTAGTGTATATGTGGTCTTCTGTAGCTCAGCTGGTAGAGCACGGCGCTTGTAACGCCAAGGTAGTGGGTTCGATCCCCGGGACCACCCATACACAAAAAATTGATGCACGCATGACTGTAAGTCGCTTTGGATAAAAGTGTCTGCTAAATGGCATATTATTTATTTATTTATTTATTATATCCTGATGCCCAGTCACCTTACCCCTAAACATATTTACCTCTATAATTCCAGTATCCCTGCACATTGTAAATATGGTATTGGAACTGACCCTGTATATAGCTTACATACATTCTCATGTTCTTCTTGTTTTTGTTCTACTTGACTTTTTAAAATAAATGTTTTATAGTACTACTGCATTGTTGGGATAGAGCAAGCAAAAAGGCATTTCACTGTACTAGTGCACGTGACAATAAACTTGAAACTTGATCGAGCTGTGGTCCATACATTCTATTGAGAACTCAAGGGCTGGGTATACCCCCTTGGGTTCTCGAGAGCTAAGGCTAGGTAGGCCTATAAATGTTTGTTTTATTCATGACAACAGAATGCAGTCAGAGTTAAGGTTATCCTGCTGGCTATAGTAATATGGATATAATTCCTAATTTATATTAGCCTACCTCAGAAAGATATGAGAGGCATCCATATCTAGGTCATTACACCGCAGGAAACCTACCCCCTCTGCGTTCTCAGAGAGAGTTCACGGAGAGAGTTCACTGAGTTCATGGAGACAGCACACCAGCACAGGGCCGGCCGCAGAACTAATCAGTTGGACATGCATTTGATTTCCATAGGGGGTCACGTTTTTTTCACGAGACCGCCTATAAAAACTTAAACCTTAACCAAACAATAGTCTCTTTGAGTAGCGCAAATAGCGCATTTCATGGACAACACGTTTCGAAGGAGAAACTGAAGGACTAATTTGGCCACTGCACAGAGAGATGCACAGAGAGATCCACCTTTTTTTATTTACTATATTATACATTACATTAAAACAAAAACAAAATGCCACAGCCCAAGCTCCAAACATAGCCTCTGAACAAAGAAAAAACATCCTGATAAAGGCCATGAACAACCCAAAAAAACTAAAACCAAGCCTAAAATAGAAAGCAAACTCAAAGTCTCTGCAACCAACCACAGGAAATGATGTGGTGTAAACCGACCATTGAATTAACCAAATTGGTCCACCTAAAGAGAGGAGGGATCCTTGTGTTCACCAGAGACATTCCGTAATTGAACAGACTTCTCGCTCTTTGGCCCGTGGACGCCTTCGCTGGGGCACAGCTGTCATGCCTCCTAGCACAACAAAGGAGAAATGGTTACCCCCAAGATGGACCCTCCAAACAGGTCATCATCTCAGGGCTCCACACCTCCATCCCAGTTGAAGAAGGCCATGCAGAGCTGGAGAAACAGAATATGCAAACAACAAAGGCAAACAGAATCATCAGCAGACAAACTCACCTCCCAACCACATTCATCAGAATTCACCTCTCCAAACCAGAAGACTCCATAAAACTACTACAGGAAGGCTTCTTCATGCATTACTTTCACTACAGAGTCGAAAAAGGCAAATCCACCCACCACAGTTCAACAGTGTTTCAAATGCCAAGAATTCAACTATATTTCCACCCAGTGCAATAACCGGGTCAAATGTCTGAGGTGTGGAGAAAACCACCACCACAAAGCCTGCCCAAATGACAAAAAAATATGCAAAAGTGTGCAAACTGTGGGGGTGGGAACTCTTCAGCCTCAAAGAGCTGCCCCACCTACATAGCCCTTACCACCACTACCACCACTCTAAGGCAACCCAGAACACAGAGCACCTTAACGCTTAACCCACCTTAACCCACCTGCAAGAGGAACTACAAAATGCTGTACAGTGCAAAGTGGATTAAATTAAACATTTTCCTCGTCAATCTACACACAATACCCCATAATGACAAAGTGAAAATACAAATACCCGACTTTACATAAGTATTCAGACCCTTTGCTATGAGACTCGAAATTGAGCACCGGTGCATCCTGTTTCCATTGATCATCCTTGAAATGTTTCTACAACTTGATTGGAGTCCACCTGTGGTAAATTCAATTGATTGGACATGATTTGGAAAGGCACACACCTGTCTATATAAGGTCCCACAGTTGACTGTGCATGTCAGAGCAGAAACCAAGCCATGAGGTTGAAGGATTGTCCGTAGAGCGCCGAGACAGGATTGTGTCGAGGCACAGATCTGGGGAAGGGTTCCAAAAAATGACTGCAGCATTGAAGGTCCCCAAGAACACAGTGGCCTCCATCATTCTTAAATGGAAGAAGTTTGGAACCACCAAGACTCTTCCTAGAGCTGGCCACCCGACCAAACTGAACAATCGGGGGAGAAGGGCCTTGGTCAGGGAGGTGACCAAGAACCCGATGGTCACTCTGACAGAGCTCCAGAGTTCCTCTGTGGAGATGGGAGAACTTTCCAGAAGGACAATCATCTCTGCAGCACTCCACCAATCAGGCCTTTTATGGTAGAGTGGCCAGACGGAAGCCACTTGGAAGCCCGCTTGGAGTTCGCAAGAAGGCACCTAAAGACTCAGACCATGAGAAACAAGATTCTCTGGTCTGATGAAACTAAGATTGAACTCTTTGGCCTGAATTCCAAGTGTCACGTCTGAAGGAAACCTGGCACCATCCCTACGGTGAAGCATGGTTGTGGCAGCATCATGCTGTGGGGATGTTTTTCAGCGGCAGGGATTGGGAGACTAGTCAGGATCGAGGGAAAGATGAACGGAGCAAAGTACAGAAAGATCCTTGATGAAAACCTGCTCCAGAGCGCTCAGGACCTCAGACTGGGGCGAAGGTTCACCTTCAAATAGGACAATGACCCTAAGCACACAGCCAAGACAACGCAGGAGTGGCTTCGGGACAAGTCTCTGAATGTCCTTGAGTGGCCCAGCCAGAGCCCGGACTTGAACCCGATCGAACATCTCTGGAGAGACCTGAAAATAGCTGTGCAGCAGCGCTCCCCATCCAACCTGACCAGAGCTTGAGAGAATCTGCAGAAAAAAATGGGAGAAACGACACAAATACAGGTGTGCAAGCTTGTAGCGTCATACCCAAGAAGACTCGAGGCTGTAATCGCTGCCAAAGGTGCTTCAACAAAGTACTAAGTAAAGGGTCTTGAATAGTTATGTAAATGTAATATTCCGTTTTTTATTTTTTATTTGTTTGTACAAAACAAAAACGGTATTATGGGGTATTGTGTGTAGATTGATGAGGAAAATAAATAATTTAATCAATTTTAGAATAAGGCTGTAACGTAGCAAAATGTGGAAAAAGTCAAGGGGTCTGAATACTTTCCAAATGCACTGTATATGCCAGAGTGAGGAAATGTTCTGGAATGTGTGATGAGGCATATACAGTGAGGGAAAAAAGTATTTGATCCCCTGCTGATTTTGTACGTTTGCCCACTGACAAAGACATGATCAGTCTATAATTTTGTTTATTTGAACAGTGAGAGACAGAATAACAATAAAAAAATCCAGAAAAACGCATGTCAAAAATGTTATAAATTGATTTGCATTTTAATGAGGGAAATAAGTATTTGACCCCCTCTCAATCAGAAAGATTTCTGGCTCCCAGGTGTCTTTTATACAGGTAACGAGCTGAGATTAGGAGCACACACTTAAAGGGAGTGCTCCTAATCTCAGCTTGTTACCTGTATAAAAGACACCTGTCCACAGAAGCATTTAATCAATCAGATTCCAAACTCTCCACCATGGCCAAGACCAAAGAGCTCTCCAAGGATGTCAGGGACAAGATTGTAGACCTACACAAGGCTGGAATGGGCTACAAGACTATCGCCAAGCAGCTTGGTGAGAAGGTGACAACAGTTGGTGTGATTATTCGCAAATGGAAGAAACACAAAATAACTGTAAATCTCCCTCGGCATGGGGCTCCATGCAAGATCTCACCTCGTGGAGTTGCAATGATCACGAGAATGGTGAGGAATCAGCCCAGAACTACACGGGAGGATCTTGTCAATGATCTCAAGGCAGCTGGGACCATAGTCACCAACAAAACAATTGGTAACACACTACGCCGTGAAGGACTGAAATCCTGCAGCGCCCGCAAGGTCCCCCTGCTCAAGAAAGCACATATACAGGCCCGTTTGAAGTTTGCCAATGAACATCTGAATGATTCAGAGGAGAACTGGGTGAAAGTGTTGTGGTCAGATGAGACCAAAATCGAGCTCTTTGGCATCAACTCAACTCGCCGTGTTTGGAGGAGGAGGAATGCTGCCTATGACCCCAAGAACACCATCCCCACCGTCAAACATGGAGGTGGAAACATTATGCTTGGGGGGTGTTTTTCTGCTAAGGGGACAGGACAACTTCACCGCATCAAAGGGACGATGGACGGGGCCATGTACCGTCAAATCTTGGGTGAGAACCTCCTTCCCTCAGCCAGGGTATTGAAAATGGGTCGTGGATGGGTATTCCAGCATGACAATGGCCCAAAACACACGGCCAAGGCAACAAAGGAGTGGCTCAAGAAGAAGCACATTAAGGTCCTGGAGTGGCCTAGCCAGTCTCCAGACCTTAATCCCATAGAAAATCTGTGGAGGGAGCTGAAGGTTCGAGTTGCCAAACGTCGGCCTCGAAACCTTAATGACTTGGAGAAGATCTGCAAAGAGGAGTGGGACAAATTCCCTCCTGATATGTGTGCAAACCTGGTGGCCAATTACAAGAAACGTCTGACCTCTGTGATTGCCAACAAGGGTTTTGCCACCAAGTACTAAGTCATGTTTTGCAGAGGGGTCAAATACTTATTTCCCTCATTAAAATGCAAATCAATTCATAACATTTTTGACATGCGTTTTTCTGGATTTTGTTGTTGTTATTCTGTCTCTCACTGTTCAAATAAACCTACCATTAAAATTATAGACTGATCATGTCTTTGTCAGTGGTCAAACGTACAAAATCAGCAGGGGATCAAATACCTTTTTCCCTCACTGGAAGTCCCGAGACGGTGCGATAAATCCACAACCACAAGTTGGCGTTTCTATTTGTTATTTATTTATTTTAGCAGGAAGTCCCATTGAGACCAAAGTTTATTTAGCAAATACTTCAATTTAAGGCGGAGCATAATTGCAAAAATACAAAAATGCGGGATTTTTTGCATAAGAGCTTTATAAATTAACAGAATGCAATGTTCCAACCTATACAACACCAGTAAGGGCCAGCCTCCTTTCCGAGAGAGAATGCAGTGATGAGTGCAAAATCGATTGTGGAGGGAGCAGTGGTAAACAGCCTCCAATGGGCTTCAAAGAACTGGGAGCTGCATTCATGTAAATAATGGTGTCATAGTCTAGGACCGGTAGGAACGTTGACTGAACTATCTGCTTTCTACTATTAAGCCAGAGGCACAATCTATTTCTATAGAAGAAGGCTAGTTTTATTTTCAGCTTCTTAGTTAACTCATCCATGTTTGTTTTAAAAGACAACTTATCAACGATCCAAATGCCCAGGTATTTATAAGAAGGGACACTGTCAATTTGGGCTCCATTTAAGGTGCAGATACTAAAATGTTGGAAGTCATTGTTGTGGGCTCTAGAAAACAATATATACTATAGATGCAACGGAAAACCATTGTAATCCATTGAGCCCATTTCAGCCATTACCGGAGTGTGTTTGATAGGTCACTGCAAAGGTTTCTGCGGTCGTAACATTAACGCAGAAAAATAAAGGGCACAAGCAAGAGTAGGTAAGAGTCGCAAGAGTAAAATGAAAGCAATCAATCCAGTGAGAATTAAGTGGACCCCACAAACACAGGAAATGTATGGCTGAAATGGACAAATCCACATGTGGGCGGGGCATGCGCATTGCTAAAAGTTTAATAGAGCACGTGTGTGAGAAAGTAATTCTTCTATCTCTGTATAGGGATCCCTGGTGTGAGAGAACGTACTCTAGTTGCGGTGAAACCAGATGGGGTCCAGCGTCGCCTTGTAGGGCAGATCACGCAACGCTTTGAGCAGAGAGGCTTCAAACTGGTGGGCCTGAAGATGCTACAGGTGAGAAATTCCAAATGAACCCCAAAGCTCCTTCCTTCTAGGTATCTGAAAGGATTGGATAGGTATAAGTAGTATGACAATAAGCAATATGATAGTAGCTTCAACTTGTCCTCTGATACGATAATTGGAACTTGCCATGGATGGGGTTTATTCATAAATGTCTATGTAAATACCAGACTGTAAAATAAAGGCTAACCCAATGTTTTGCTTTCTTTCTTTCAGGCACCAGAGGAGCAGCTCTCTCAGCATTACCATGAGTTAAGGAGGAAGCCGTTTTACCCCAGTCTCCTGCACTACATGACCTCTGGTCCCATAGTTGTTATGGTGAGGGCTCCTGCCTCTGTCTAGCCTGATCATCCAAACTTGAATTGCTTGATTCAATCCGTAACTCCGAAGTTCAGCGCTATAGCGCGATTGAAATGTAAAGGCAATTTTCCTGTGTTCAAGGTAAAGGCTGCATATGACGGCTCAATCGGAAATTACAAGCACGCTATAGCGCTGAACTTCGGTGATATGGATTGAATTCAGCCCACGCTGTTTTCTCACTTCCCTGATCAGTCTGGGTGGCCTCTAATAGATGGACACCTGGACGGTCTATAAAATAACTTGTGCAATCAGCTGTTAATGCCCTTGCTGAAGTACCTTGCTCAATGGCACAACGGTAGTAGATTGTTGCCATGATCTGAGACCAGCAGCCCTCCATTTGCCAGTTCAGTTAACTTTTTCACCACTCAGCCCGAGACTTAACCACCTCCTCTGGGCTACCTAAGGTACCATTATTCAATTAGTTTTGAGTAATGACCCTCAAAACATTTTTAGTGAAAAGATGGCCAGACGAAATGAGAATCCCCATTTATACCTGGTGCTAACATGCGTCCTTTGTCCTGATCTTCTGGCATTCTGATTCTGCCCACATTTATAGACAGGTGTAGGTGATTAAAGGAAGCATTGTGATCAGATCTTCCTGACCACCTCTGGAGGTAGTCAGGGATGTAGTCATGTGTCTTACAAGTCTAATCTAGCAGTTAGAGCATTGGGCCAGTATCTGAAAGGTTGCTGGTTTCGAATACCCGAGCAGTCAAGGTGAAAAATATGTAGATGTGCCCTTGAGCAAGGCACTTAACTCTAATTTGCTCCAGGTACACTGCACTACTATGGCTAACCCTATAAAACAACACATTTCACTGCACCTATCAGGTGTATGTGATATACAGTACAAGTCAAAAGTTTGGACACACCTACTCATTCAAGGGTTTTTCTTTATTTTTACAATCTTCTACATTGTAGAATAATAGTAAAGACATCAAAACTATGAAATAACACATATGGAATCATGTAGTAACCAGAAAAGTGTTAAACAAATCAAAATATATTTTAGATTTTAGATTCTTCAAAGTAGCCGCCCTTTGTCTTGATGACAGATTTGTACACTCTTGGCATTCTCTCAACCAGCTTCATGAGGTAGTCACCAGGAATGCTTTTCCAACAGTCTTGAAGGAGTTACCACATATGCTGAGCACTTGTTGGCTGCTTTTCCTTCACTCTCCGGTCCAACTCATCCCAAACCATCTCAATTGGGTTGAGGTCGGGTGATTGTGGAGGCCAGGTCATCTGATGCTGCACTCCATCACTCTCCTTCTTGGTAAAATAGCCCTTACAAAGCCTGGAGGTGTGTTGGGTCATTGTCCTGTTGAAAAATAAATGATAGTCCCACTAAGCGCAAACCAGATGGGATGGCGTATCGCTGCAGAATGCTTTGGTAGCTATGCTGGTTAAGTGTGCCTTGAATTCTAAATAAATCACTAACAGTGTCACCAGCAAAGCACCCCCACACCATCACACCTCCTCCTCCATGCTTCACGGTGGGAACCAGACATGCAGAGATCATCAGCTTACCGACTCTGTGTCTCACAAAGACACGGCGGTTGGAACCAAAAATCTCAAATTCGGACTCATCAGACCAAAGGACAGATTTCCACCGGTCTAAGTTCATTGTTCGTGTTTCTTGGCCCAAGCAAATCTCTTCTTATTATTGGTGTCCTTTTAGTAGTGGTTTCTTTGCAGCAATTCTACCATGAAGGCCTGATTCATGCAGTCTCCTCTGAACAGTTGATGTTGAGATGTGTCTGTTACTTGAACTCTGTGAAGCATTTATTTGGGCTGCAATCTGAGGTGCAGTTAACTCTAATGAACTTATCCTCTGCAGCAGAGGTAACTCTGGGTCTTCCTTTCCTGTGGCGGTCCTCATGAGAGCTAGTTTCATCATAGCGCTTGATGGTTTTTGCAACTGCACTTGAAGTTCATGACATTTTCCGTATTGACTGATCTTCATGTCTTAAAGTAATGATGGACTGTCGTTTCTCTTTGCTTATTTGAGCTGTTCTTGCCATAATTTTACCAAATAGGGCTATCTTCTGTATACCACCCCTACCTTGTCACAACACAGCTGATTGGCTCAAACGCATTAAGAAGGTTAAGAAATTCCACAAATTCCAGAAATGAACTTTTAAGAAGGCACACCTGTTAATTGAAATGCATTCCAGGTGACTACCTCATGAAGCTGGTTGAGAGAATGCCAAGAGTGTGCAAAGCTGTCATCAAGGCAAAGGGTGGCTACTTTGAAGAATCTAAAATCTAGAACATATTTTATATATATATTTTATATTGGCAGGTGGCATAAAGATGTCTCTTTAAATAAATATTATTTTGACAAAATATCTGGTGTCAATGCGGACACAGTGGACATGTAAGAGACATATTAATACCATGTATAGATACAATGGCCAATATGTGAGCACAATCAGAAAGTGGACAAGATCAGGACAAAGGATGCATGTTATCACCCAGGATAAATGGGGCTAGAGTGTGAAACAATAATGAAATAAAGCAATTCAGTGTAGATTCCCAGACTACACTGCCTCTACTTATGTTAAATTCAAAACCACCAAACCACTTGTGTAGGGATTAGATAATGGCAATGGCTGTGTTGAAATTTAGATTTAGTGCCAAACTGATTGACTTTCAATTAACTTGCTGAATTGACTGATTTGAAATAGGATTGCCCTAATCCTGATGGCGAGTTTAATTATTTATTGTTGTCTAGGTGTGGGAGGGTTATAATGTGGTCCGGACATCCCGGATCATGATAGGAGACACCAACCCAGTCGAGGCCCAAGCAGGCACCGTTCGAGGGGACTTCAGCATTCACATCAGCAGGTGAACCTATTGAACAAAGATTCAAATGAAAATATGTTTTCACATTATAATAAATGGCACAATACCCTTTTAAGCAAATATTTTAATGATAATTGAATTGGACAACAATTAATTTTGAGAGGCATAAAAACGAAAGGATATATACATACAGTTAAAGTCGGAAGTTTACATACACTTAGGTTGGAGTCATTAAAACTTGTTTTTCAACCACTCCACAATTTTCTTCTTAACAAACTATAGTTTTGGCAAGTCGGTTAGAACATCTACATTGTGCATGACACAAGTAATTTTTCCAACAGACAGATTATTTCATTTATTATTCACTGTATCACAATTCCAGTGGGTCAGAAGTGTACATACACTAAGTTGACTGTGCCTTTTAAACAGCTTGGAAAATTCCAGAAAATGATGTCATGGCTTTAGAAGCATCTGATAGGCTAATTGACATCATTTGAGTCAGTTGGAGGTGTACTTGTGGATGTATTTCAAGGCCTACCTTCAAACTCAGTGCCTCTTTGCTTGACATCATGGGAAAATCAAAAGACCTCAAAAAATAAATTGTAGACCTCCACAAGTCTGGTTCATGCTTGGGAGCAATTTCCAAACGCCTAAAGGTACCACGTTCATCTGTACAAACAATAGTACGCAAGTATAAACACCATGGGACCACACAGCTGTCATACCGCTCAGGAAGGAGAAGCGTTCTGTCTCCTAGAGATTAACGTACTTTGGTGCGAAAAGTGCAAATCAATCCCAGAACAACAGCAAAGGACATTGTGAAGATGCTGGAGGAAACAGGTACAAAAGTATCTATATCCACAGTAAAACGAGTCCTATATTGACATAACCTGAAAGGCCGCTCAGCAAGGAAGAAGCCACTGCTCCAAAACCGCCTTAAAAAAGCCAGACTACGGTTTGCAACTGCACATGGGGACAAAGATCGTACTGTTTGGAGAAATGTCCTCTGGTCTGATTAAACAAAAATATAACTGTTTGCCCATAATGACCATTATTATGTTTGGAGGAAAAAGGGGGTCGCTTGCAAGCCGAAGAACACCATCCCAACCGTGAAGCACGGGGGTGGCAGCATCATGCTGTGGGGGTGCTTTGCTGCAGGAGGGACTGGTGCACTTCACAAAATAGATGCCATCATGAGGAAGGAAAATGATGTGGATATATTGAAGCAACATCTCAAGACATCAGTCAGGAAGTTAAAGCTTGGTCGCATATGGGTCTTCCAAATGGACAACAACCCCAAGCATACTTCCAAAGTTGTGGACGAAATGGCTTAAGGACAACAAAGTCAAAGTGTTGAAGTGGCCATCACAAAGCCCTGACCTCAATCCTATAGAATATTTGTGGGCAGAACTGAAAAAGCGTGTGCGAGCAGGGAGGCCTACAAACCTGACTCAGTTAAACCAGCTCTGTCAGGAGGAATGTATACATCTGGCCCTTCATTGGACACTGTGTTAACAAACCTCCAAACGAGCTTCAATTCCATACAACACTCCTTCAGTAGCCTCCAACTGCTCTTAAACACTAGTAAAACTAAATGCATGCTCTTCAACCGAACGCTGCTTGCACCCGCCCACCCGACTAGAATCACTACTCTAGACGGGTCTGACCTAGAGTATGTGGACAACTACAAATATCTAGGTGTCTGGTTAGACTGTAAACTCTCCTTCCAGACTCACATTAAGAATCTCCAATCCAAAGTTAAATCTAGAATCGGTTTCCTATTTCGCAACAAAGCCTCCTTCACTCATGCTGCCAAACATGCCCTCGTAAAACTGACTATCCTACCGATCCTTGACTTCGGCGATGTCATTTACAAAATAGCCTCCAACACTCTACTCAGCAAATTGGATGTTGTCTATCACAGTGCCATCCGTTTTGTCTCCAAAGCCCCATATAATACCCACCACTGTGACCTGTACGCTCTTGTTGGCTGGTCCTCACTACATATTCGTCGCCAAACCCACTGGCTCCAGGCCATCTATAAATCACTGCTAGGCAAATCCCCGCCTTATCTTAGCTCATTGGTCACCATAGCAACACCCACCCGTAGTCTGCGCTCCAGCGGGTATATCTCACTGGTCATCCCCAAAGCCAACACCTCCTTTGGCCGCAATTCCTTCCAGTTCTCTGCTGCCAATGAATGGAACAAATTGCAAAAATCTCTGAAGCTGGAGACACTTATCGCCCTCACTAACTTTAAGCATCAGTTGTCAGAGCACCTTACCGATCACTGCACCTGTACACAGCCCATCTGAAATTAGCCCGCCCAACTACCTCATCCCTATATTGTTATTTATTTTGCTCATTTGTACCCCAGTATCTCTATTTGCACATCATCTCTTGCACATCATTCCAGTGTTAATACTAAATTGTAATTATTTTGCACTATAGCCTATTTTATTGCCTTACCTCCATAACTTGCTAAATTTGCACACACTGTATATATATGTATTTCTGTTTCTGTATTTTTGACTTTGTTTTGTTTTACCCCATATGTAACTCTGTGTTGTTGTTTTTTATCGCACTGCTTTGCTTTATCTTGGCCAGGTCGCAGTTGTAAATGAGAACTTGTTCTCAACTGGTTTACCTGGTTAAATAAAGGTGAAATAAAAAAATTTAAAAAATGGGCCAAAATTCACCCAACTTATTGTGGGAAGCTTGTGGGAGGCTACCCGACACGTTTGACCCAAGTTAAAAAATGTAAAGGCAATGCTACCAAATACTAATTGAGTGTATGTAAACTTCTGACCCACTGGCAATGTGATGAAATAAATAAAAGCTGAAATAAATAATTATCTCTACAATTATTCTGACATTTCACATTCTTAAAATAAAGTGGTGATCCTAACTGACCTAAGACAGGACATTTTTACTAGGATTAAATGTCAGGAATTGTGAAAAACTGAGTTTAAATGTATTTGGCTATGGTGTATGTAAACTTCCGACTTCAACTGTATATAAACATTGAAATTGATCATTGAGAAAGTGTTTTGAAATTGGGAGCATCATTTCAATGACAAAATACTGAACTGGACTTCAAGCCATTAACAACGAACTAATGAATGTAGGTTTGTGTTTTTTATAGAAATGTGGTCCATGCCAGTGATTCAGTAGAGGGGGCTCAGAGGGAGATCGAGCTGTGGTTTCATCAAAAGGAACTGATGGATTGGGCCTGCTGTGACCACAGTAGTACCTACCAGATATGAGAAAGAGATGGGAGGCAGAGATGGAAAGGAAGAGTTAAGCATTTCATTATACTGTTTTGAACCTGCTGTATCCTGTGCATGTGACAATTAAACTTGAAAGCGTGAAAGAGGTAGAACGACCATCAGGAATAGTGGCACCATAACCATACCTACCTCTTTATGTGCCCCACGTGCGATACTCAGCCCACTCCATCTTGGGTGGCTCCAATACCCCTGAGCCCCTCAGCTACTCCTATAGTTTACATTCCTCACCATATGTATTTGGACAGTGAAATGAAAATGTTAATTTTGGCTCTATACTCGAGTTTTGGATTTGAGATCAAATTATCAATATGACATTATATTACATAATGTTTGTTTATTTGAGGGTGTTTTCATGCTTATCTGTTTTACCATTTAGACATAAAAGCACTTCATATGTGGTCCTCTGTAGCTCAATTGGTAGAGCATGGCGCTTGTAACGCCAGGGTAGTGGGTTGGATCCCCGGGACCACCCATACGTAAAAATGTATGCGCACATGACTGTAAGTCGCTTTGGATAAAAGCGTCTGCTAAATGGCATATTATTATTATTATTATTATTATTATTATTATTATTATTATTATTATTATAAGTACCCCCATTTGAAGAAATCATAAGTATTTGGGCAAATTCACTTATAGTGTCGTCTAAATGTTAGTATTTGGTCCTTTATCGCTTGGACCCAATGACTTCATTAAGCTTGCAACTCTACAAACTAATTCGCTGCATTTGCAATTTTTTTTGGGTGAATTATGGGACATGTCTTGCACAATAGTAACTGAATGGTGTCTGGAGTCATTTTAATTCTAAATTAGCTGAGAAGATGTTTCTGAACACTTCCAAATCCATCCTGATGCTGCCATGATTCAGAAAATTCATGAATGGATCATACAGTGCATTCGGAAAGTATTCAGACCCCTTCACTTTTTCCCCATTTTGTTACTTTACAGCCTTATTCTAAAATTGATTAAATTGTATTTTTTTTCTCATCAATCTACACACAATACCACATAATGACAAAGCAAAAACAGGTTGACATTTTTGCAAATGTATTAAAAATAAAAACGGAAATATAACATTTACATAAGTATTCAGACCCTTTACTCAGTACTTTGTTGAAGCACCTTTGGTAGCGATTACAGCCTTGAGTCTTTTTGGGTGTCTTTTTGGGTGTCTTTTGAACCTGCTTGGCACACCTGTATTTGGGGAGTTTCTCCCATTTCTTCTCTGCAGATCTTCTCAAGCTCTGTCAGGTTGGCTGGGGAGCGTCACTGCACAGCTATTTTCAGGTCTCTCCAGAGATGTTAGATCGGGTTCAAGTCCGGGCTCTGGCTGGGCCACTCAAGGACATTCAGAGACTTGTCCCAAAGCCACTACTGCATTGTCTTCGCTATGTGCTTAGGGTTGTTGTCCTGTTGGATGGTGAACCTTCGCCCCAGTCTGAGGTCCTGAGCGCTCTGGAGCAGGTTTTCATTAAGGATCTCTCTGTACATTGCTCCGTTCATCTTTCCCTCAATCCTGACTAGTCTCCCAGTCCCTGCCGCTGAACAACATCCCCACATTATGATGCTGCGACCACCATGCTTCACCGTAGGGATGGTATTGTCCAGGTGATGAGCAGTGCCTGGTTTCCTCCAGATGTGACACTTGGCATTTAGGCCAAAAAGTTCAATCTTGGTTTCATCAGACCAGATAATCTTGTTTCTCATGGTCAGAGAGTCCTTTAGGTGCCTCTTGGCAAACTCCAAGCAGGCTGTCATGTGCCTTTTACTGAGGAGTGGCTTCCGTCTGGCCACTCTACAATAAAGGCCTGATTGGTGGTGTGCTGCAGAGATGGTTGTCCTTCTGGAAGGTTCTCCCATCACCACAGAGGAACTCTGGAGCCAGCTCTAGGAAGAGTCTTGGTGGTTCCGAACTTGTGCCACTCGACACAATCCTGTCTCGGAGCTCTACGGACAATTCCTTCGACCTCATGGCTTGGTTTTTGCTCTGACATGCACAGTCAACTGTGGGACCTTATATAGACAGGTGTGTGCCTCACCAAATCATGTCCAATCAATTGAATTTACCACAGGTGGACTCCAATCAAGTTGTAGAAACATCTCAAGGGTGATCAATGGAAACAGGATGCACCTGAGCTCAATTTCGAGTCTCATAGCAAAGGGTCTGAATACTTATATTTTAAAAAATACCTTATTTACATTTTTTTTAAATAAATGTGCAAACATTTATAAAACCCTGTTTTTGCTTTGTCATTATGGGGTATTGTGTGCAGATTGATGAGAGGGAAAAAAAAGTAATCAATTTTAGAATAAGGCTGTAACGTGGAAAAATGGAAGGTGTCTGAATACTTTCCGAATGCACTGTACATAATGATGAGTAGGAAAGTCACAGAGAGCTGATAACCTATCACCATTATCAATAACAGGGTAGGTTAATATAATTTTTTTTGGGGGGGGGGTTGTGTATCACAGTGGCGGTCGGTGCCGTTTAAGATGAGGGAGGACGATAGTTTATTTTATGAGCATGATCTTCTTTCTATTACAGCATATTGGATGACTGTCATTCATATTTCATTCACCCAGCTCAATGTAACATCGATAGGTTTAGGCTACTACATGATACTCAAATATTCCTTATACCCATCATGAGGTTGCTACAACCTAGCCTATGAATGAAAGTTTACAACGTAGGTGCACAGGTCGAGAGAGATTTGAGTAATCAAGGTGACAGACATTGACACATTCAATACAGCCTGCATCTAGCTGATCTAGGGTGTAATCATTAGTCCAACAGTTGCAAACGAGAGTTTCTATTGGACAAATTTAGGTATGTTTATCACCGTTTCATTCCGTTTGCTTCCGGGTTTTTTTTTTCTGGCGGAATGAATACACACCTGATCACACGCAAACACAGTCCACTTTCATAGCAGCCACATAAATTATATACAGCATGATCCCTTTGATCGTTGTAGAATTCCTTCTCGCATCGACGCACTCTCCTCCTCTCACCTTTTCCCTTCGCTTGTCGACTTCAGTGCACAACACATAAGCTGTCTGACCAGGCGAGAGAACCTTTCCAAGCCAAACCTTAATATCATAACCACTACACACAGTCTACATCATTGTCACCATATTATAACGTCATAGTCAACATAGCTACTAGAACTAACACGTTAGTAAACCCGCTACAATCATGCAGTACAGTGTACAGGCAGTAAGAATTTTAGCAATTACACGGGTGGGCCCCGGTGGCAATAAATTCATACAACCAAAAGCTTACCATGACTTGGAATAGTTCCAGTGTTGGATAGCCATAGCCAGCTAGCTAAGATAGCATCCCTCTCCGTTTGAGCTGGGTGTTTGAGTTGGCTAAACTAGCTAGCTGCATTCGAAATATAGATATCTCTCTCTCGCTTCTCCTTTTTTTCTAAACTGTTTAACTATTCTTTCTCTCTCTTTGAGTCAAGTACTCACCACATTTTATGCACTGCAGTGTTAGCTGCAAATGCTTTCAGTACTAGATTAATTCTCTGATCCTTTGATTGGGTGGGCAACATGTCAGTTCATGCTGCAAGAGCTCTGAAAGGTTGGAGGACGTCCTCCGGAAGTTGTCATAATTACTGTGTAAGTCTATGAAGGGGGTGAGAACCACGAGCCTCCTAGGTTTTGCATTGAAGTTAATGTACCCAGAGGAGGACGGAAACTAGCTATCCTCTGGCTACACCATGGTGCTATCCTACAGAGTGCTGTTGAGGCTACTGTAGACCTTAATTGCAAAACCGATGTTTTAATAAATTATTTGGTGACATGAATATATTTAGTATAGTTATCTAAAAAGTATAACGTTTTAAATGTTTCACTAGTTACATTTGTCTGAAATTCACTGAGGAGGATGGTCCTCCCCTTCCTCCTCTGAGGAGCCCCCATTGGTTTATCATCTTTGTGCCTCTAACTTTCTCACTCGTTATTATTCATTATTCATTCATGATTTGTTTAGGACCCTGACAGCATCCAAATGAATGTAAGATTCAGTTACTATTGGGAAAGACATGACCCAAAACACACCTAAAACAATCTGCAAATGCATCCAATAAATTTGTATTCACAAGCTTGATGTAGTCATTGAGTGCGGGGGACTAGATACATAAAATGCTTGTATTTTTTAACATTTTTTATTTTTTTGTCATTTAGCAGACGCTCTTATCCAGAGCATACATTTTTCATACATTTTTCATTGGACTGTATGTTGTTGAGTTGCAAACGCATCATCTCAAAGCCCGCCCTCATCACTAGACGTCAATGGAATGCGACCAAAACAATGAAAATACCACGCGAGCGTCCCCCCTGTGGGGATAGATCCAGAATCCCCTCATTGCCAGCCATCAAAATGTTCCTACATTTCGGCTATTGTTTATACAGTGGGGAGAACAAGATTTGATGCACTGCCGATTTTGCAGGTTTTCCTACTTACAAAGCATGTAGAGGTCTGTAATTTTTATCATAAGTACACTTCAACTGTGAGAGACGGAATCCAGAAATCCAGAAAATCACATTGTATGATTTTTAAGTAATTAATTTGCATTTTATTGCATGACATAAGTATTTGATACATCAGAAAAGCAGAACTTAATATTTGGTACAGAAACCTTTGTTTCCAATTACAGAGATCATACTTTTCCTGTAGGTCTTGACCAGGTTTGCACACACTGCAGCAGGGATTTTGGCCCACTCCTCCATACAGACCTTCTCCAGATCCTACAGGTTTCGGGGCTGTCGCTGGGCAATATGGACTTTCAGCTCCCTCCAAAGATTTTCTATTCGGTTCAAGTCTGGAGACTGGCTAGGCCACTCCAGGACCTTTAGATGCTTCTTACGGAGCCACTTCTTAGTTGCCCTGGCTGTGTGTTTCGGGTCGTTGTCATGCTGGAAGACCCAGCCACGACCCATCTTCAATGCTATTACTGAGGGAAGGAGGT